CTGTAACACACCTGTGTCCCAAAAACCCTACGTGAGTGCAGTTGAAAAATGAAGAGGGTGGAGGTTTGTGGTGGGGGATGGGGAGGAAAAAACTGAGGGAGCAAGWATGCTCCCACAGGGGGCCAGCTCCCCCACTGGTCCCAGTAGGCTCCCCCGCTCCCCGAGACCCGCCCAGGGACTGAGACCCCCAAGACCTCCTCCTCTGGACAGACCGCCAGATCCGGAAGACGCCAGATCACGGACAGACCGAGCCCGGAGGACCGCCAGAAACCGGGACCAACAGACCCCCCGCCCTAGAGCCGCACTGACCCCCAAGACCCGACCCCCAGCCCCACGGCCAACCGGCAGCCCAAAGAAGCTACCGAACCCCAGCAAGAGTGATCTAGCCGAGAGCGCACACCCAGCCACCAACAGCTCGAGGAGGGACCAGGAGCGAGTCCTCGCCACAACCACTCTCACTAATATTTTTAACAAACACCGAATTTTGTGTTTTTTATAAACTCCTTCCTTTTTCAGGACAAGCCTACTAGAACAGCTGAACTTTATCAGAGGCACTTTAATTAGTGACAGGTGTGTGCTGACTCTAATTTAACATGAGTTTTAATGTAATTAGTTAAATCTGAACACAGCCACACCCCCAGTTCTAAAAGGGGGTGCACACTTATGCAACCACATTATCTCCGTTGTTTATTTTTACTTCACCTTCTGAAAGATTTCTGTTTGTTTTTCTATTGCATTGTACAGGTTATGGGTCACATTAAGGTGGAAAAAGTTGTGAAAATGTTTGTTTTGCTGTCATTTTTTTACCTCACAAAAACCTGGCATTTAACAGAGGGGTGTGTAGACTTTTTATATCCACTGTAATGTGTTGAAAACATCAGTACAGTTGTAAACGTAGACTTTTTCCAATTAAGACTCATTCTGAAGCGCTTTCTTTATTTTTTACCAAAGACTTAAAAAAGTAATTTATGATTTAATACTTTTGACTTAAACCACTGCAACCCTATAATTTCTATAAATCAAATACAAACCATAATAATCGTATACTGCACCTGTCTGTGTGTTTTGAGTTCTMTTTGGTTTTACTTCTCTTTTGTTATCAGCAATCAATCAATCAACATTTATTAATAGAACCCTTTACATCTGCTGAAAGGTGCACAAAGTGCTTCATGAAATGAAACAAAAAATAAAACAAAACAGCCACTAGTTATTAAAAGTCTCTTCAAATACAAATTAAACCCCTTTAAACCCCACCCCCTTCAGGTCTCCCATCGTTATCCTCCGTGTTCGTCCATTTTTGTAGTTTGATAGCAGAGATATGATTATTTAGCTGCGAAGAAACATTTTCCCAAAATAAAAGTATTTTTTAGATATCAAGCTAATTTCAAATATATCTGTTCCTCTTAAAAACTTTGTGCTTTATAATCTTTGTTCATTCCAAGCTTAAAAAAGTGACATTATTGGTTTAAATTCCACCTTTTTATTGTTTTAAATAAACCAGTGATAAATTCACAGTAGCTGTGAATCAAACTTTTTTTTTATTTTACATTTTATGAGTTTTTTTCCAGTGTTGAGGGTGAAAGAGCCTGAATCTGTGTGATTACTGTCACTCTGCTCGCTGACGTCTCCATCAGTGGTTTTCATCTCTGAGTCACAGAAAGTCTTTTAAAGTCAACGTTTGTAACATTTGTCTGAATCCTAAGCAAAGTTTAGTGAATATCTTCCTGTCATTAACTTCAAACGATTCGTCTTAATGTGTCAAATATGACTTGGTTATTAATTACACTGGGAATGAAAAGAAAACCGTTTCAGGAATCTATAAAACTGAATATAAATGAGGGGAAAAGTAAATATGAACAATTAAAGTATATATATCTGATGTATAAATGAGGAGCAGTTTAAAAATATATTGTGACATGTTTAGAACCGAGGGAACGATCCAGAGTTACATTAAAGGAACATTAAAATGAAATCATGTTTGAATATTCTATCAAGAAACTCAGATAATGAACTAAAAACAACAGTAAAAACACAAACATCATTTCAACAATGATTTAATTCTATTTATTTATTTAGATCACGTGTCAAACTCAAGGCCCGCAGGCCAAATGTGGCTCCCCACAGCATTTTATGTGGCCTGATCAGTGGGAATTCCCAGTTGGAAAGTGGGAAAAATCTGAATCCAAGCTGGTGGTTATACTCACGTATTCACCTGTGTACTTTTAATAGTATTTCTGTATTTATTTCACATTTAGTCAGTCGTACAGGCAGTACTGTTCAGTGTGGTTAACAGACGGCAGCAGAGAGAGGAAACATGGTCCTGAGCCTACAGCAGCTCAACTGAGTCAGGAAAACCAAATCCTAACTGGTCTCTGAAAGCTCTGTCTACATTTTAGAACCTGTAGGAACCAGAAGTAAACCTGCAGTCTGAGAGTGAGGAGCTCTGTCAGGAAAATATGCAACAGTAAGGTTTGAACACAGCCTGGAGCCTGGCTGGTTCTGAACTTCCCAGAGAGAAGCTGAAGCAGCAGAAACACCATCCCTGCTCGGTGTAAAATACCCAACATGCACAGCGGTGCCCTCGGCTTCACCTCGTGTGCCAGGTTGCCACAATAAGAGCAACAACTTCCCACTCTCACTTCTACAAAGCTGCCAGCATGTGATGCCTGCCCCGTCCCATGGCCCTGAGGTCAGCGTGAACCTCCACCATGAACTGGACCCTGTGGGCCTGGAGGGCAGGAACTTCTGATTTCCTCTTTTTGCTTTGTGCTCCTTTTGGAAACTGACTGACGAGGCAGATCTGTACCTGAGATGCTGCTGGGCCTTCACAGGCCACCCTTTGCAGCGTTGCATTGGAGCATCCTGCAGCTAACTGTAGCTGTTAACTAACTGTAGTTATTAACTAAGTGCAGTTACCTGTAGCTATTAACTAAGTGCAGTTACCTATTACTGTTGGTAAAATGGTAAATGGACTGTACTTATATAGCGCCTTT